CATCAATGTATACCAACTGATCAGGTAGTAGTGCGTATATAATGTCGTAACATTTTCCCATATACCATTTACATATATATACATATAAGTACGCGTATATAACGTCATCTGTTCATGGGTCAATGCACATGCATAAATGAATGAAATGCATGAAAAATATGTAATAATCTCGATATTCCTTGCGGATAAACTTTTTCAACTGCGTATTATTCTGAGACCCATGAACAGAAGATATAATAATAATTCACATGGGGAATCAAGAATATAGACACTCCTAGGGTTTCTATGAATAGAATCATTTATAAAAGTTGTGCATTTGCTCATTTCATTTATTTCGTATGGATCATGCCAAAAAGAAAGGAGGGATAGCCTTAACATACCTGGAGTAGGGAAAACTCCGTATAATACTCTTGGAGAAGATTGCACCGTACTCCTATAGAACCGCAAAATTTTTACGTTGCTACGATTCTAACAAATTCTCGTTGGAATTGAATTTGGAACTGTAAAATTGGATGGAATTAAGCTTCTGTTCTTGTAGTATTTGAACTACGAAATGATGTATGTTTCTTACTTTTAGATTTATGAACGTCTTTGGTTCTCTTTTGTCCAAATGAAAATGGGATAAGACTTGTAATAAGTCTTTACTTGTTAAATTCCAATAAATCTTAGATAGTCACCTAGTCCTTAGAATACTCTTAGCTGGTGGCCTTTTGTCACATTTTTTTTGGGAGGGGGGAGAATTAATCTTTATCTCATATTTTAATAATTAACTAGGCAATGTCCCGTTACCCTGTAATTAATCAATTACCCGTATAATTAAGAATTATCTCAAATTACCTAAAAATACTACTTATTTTTAATATACTTTATGCATTATACTACCGTGGTTATATGGTACCTTGCATGTTACTAGTTCATAATTATCAGGTATTATCGCTCAACCCGTATTTTATCCCAAATTGGCCACTTTCAACGAAACTCATTTTCTTTAATTCATGTACTCTTTATCCTTCAAGACACTTACTTATCGCTTGTTATAAATAGCGTAAATATGTTAACCTCAAGATAACCTCATCCTCGAGTCTACGTCGATTAATTGAAGACGAAACTTTTAACGTACAAAAACGCGAGATGTAACATTATACACTTAAAAATGGATAACCAATGAGTTTAGCTTTTATATTTGCAAATACTCAAATTGGGAGTTCCTCAAGTTTGGGGGACTAGGAATTCTCTCAACTTGTGATAATATTCAAGAAGTCATGGATTAAATATGAGTTGGGCCGAATAATATAGAAAATATAAAGAGATGATATCATTGTATGGAATGAAAATCCAAGACCTGCTACGTGAATCAATAACGATGCGACACGTGGAAGCCTTGGCCCGACCAGAGTCGGACACTCTGTGATATCGCGGTTGGAGGCCCTGGTTGGGGCCTTCAAAGATCACCGGTATCTCAAGACAAGGGTATCGTCTCAGAATGATTAAAGTTATCGTTGACTGATTGGGTAATGACACCGGGTTCAACGGATCTTTTTTTTTTTTGTCCTAACTCTAGTGTCAGCTAAAGCGCATTCTCACCAACCCTCTAAGACCAGCCATTATCGAGCACTATGCCAAACCTGAAATGTTTTCTAATACTTCCCCCGTTCCAACTTATGTGAACATATTTGACAGGGCACGGAGTTTAAGAAAAAATGAAGACTTTTAGAATTTGTGGTCCTAAACAAGTTAAAATGCGGTCTAGAGTATTTGTGTGGTTATAAAAGTTTCTTATTAAGGATAGAGTTGAAAATTTAAGTTATATTATTTCCAAATTTAGAAAGAGATCATTCTTGACTTGTATAATTAGCTTCTCATACAAGCTAAAAGGAGGAACATTTTCGTCCCTCTAGGGAACCATCTAAGACAACTTGTAACGCATCTCTCTCTCTCATTCTTTGTTGTCTCTCGAAGAATACTTGCAAGAAATACACAACTTAATATCGAACCTTCTTTAGCTTTTGCCTTGGTTATTCATTGCTATAACTTTAGTCTTTATTTTCATATACATCATCATGGGCGGAATTAGGGGTAGAAGGGGATTTACTCGAACCTCTTTCATAGGGAAATTACACTATACATATAAGACAAATTCGCTTTATGCATATATATATATATATATATATATATATATATATTTTGAATCTCCTTGCCATAGCTCGAAAGCATATTTCAATGGTCAATGGGTTCAAAACTTTTGTGACGTTGCTGGTTCAATTTCCACTGGTTACAGCCCCTTTTAATTTTGTATTTTTTTTTTTTTTTTTTGAAACTCCCATAGCGGAAATCCTATCTCCGCCGCTATACATCATACCGATTCAGCTACAAGATAAAGGGTTTGGATTGATTACGATTTACTTGTCTTTAATCCCTTTCTTTTTATCAAAATAACTGTTAAAGCGGATAACCATATTTCCCGGAAAACAATCATCAATATTTTTCATTGGTATTTTTTAGTAAAGAAAGTTTTCCCAAGTATTGAACACATAAACCTAGTAACTGAAAATCGTTATATTCTTTGAGGTGGTGGAAAACCAGTTTCTCTGTGCATTTATCCAGACACTGACACTAGTATTTCCCAAAGCAGATAGTGTGGATCGACTAGCACATGCACGGAATGATTGGTCATAGACATCACTATTCCACGTGTTATTTCGATTTTCAATGATAGAAAAAAAAAATTATGGGACATACAAATTACCAGATGTGGATTTGGAAAGGTACAGGCTAAATACCATATATTGCATTATGAATTAATAACCTTTTAATGATATTCTTAATTAAATTGAAACAAATGTTTACGAATAAAAGGGACGCAGATTGCATTAGGAGAAATTATATAAGAGGGAATAAAAGGCGCAGAAAAATGAGAAGGCAAAAATAACCTTTTAATGATATTCTTAATTAAATTGAAACAAATGTTTACGAATAAAAGGGACGCAGATTGCATTAGGAGAAATTATATAAGAGGGAATAAAAGGCGCAGAAAAATGAGAAGGCAAAAATGTCAGAAGTGGGATTTGAACCCACGCCCTCTCACGAGGACCAGAACTTGAGTCTGGCGCCTTAGACCACTCGGCCACCCTGACTTGGTGTTCATTTGGAGCAAATACATATATAGTATCGTTAATAATTAAGGAACATTTATACTCCTACGACGTCTAGAATGTTGTTTTCCTTATCAAGAGGCAAAAATATTTTTCAAAACTCCTTCTCAACCTTTTCTATCCTCACCAACCCACCTTACACCCCCATACCCACCCACCTATCCCACCCCTTCTCTCCAAAAAGGCTTTTTTTTTCAAATTTCAAAAGTTTAGTGATTCGGAGGTTTATGAAATTTGTGGATTCGGAAGGTTGTTCGTTCGAAAGTTTATGGCTTCATGTTTATTGTATCTAAATTATTTATGAATATTCTTGAAAAGTTATTTTCCTTAATTTACGTACCAAATACCAGAAAATGAATAAAATTACTACTTATTTTTCAAAAAAATATTTTCTTGAAAAACACTTTTCACGGAAAATATTTTTCTTTATACCAAACACACCCGACAATCTTCATTTTCTTTACATGATATCTAAATCAAACTTGTCCGTTTTGGATGTTGAGTTGAATATAAACTTCGTTTTCTTTATGTAATATCTGAGTCAAACTCATCTATATCAGTGTTTTATAATGTTCCACCCTTGTGTTATGTTGTTATTCACGCTATAGTTGTCCAAGTCTGAGAGCCTCTTTGGTTAAGGTGTCAAAAATTACTTATTTTAAAAAGTATTTTTTTCAAAAAATACTTTTGCAAAATAGCAGTTTATGTTTGGCTAATTCATTTGAGTGGTGCTTTTTGCAAACTCAATATGTTTGGCCAATCTTTCCAAAAAATACTTTTAAGTATCAAGTTACGAAAAAAGGACGGTAAAGATTCAGTTTGTAATTAATATTATTTAAAAAAGAAAAATAAATTTAAATTTTTCTTATAAAAGAATTAATTAAAATATAAAACATAAAGTAAAAATATAAATTAAAAATTCTAATCAACATAAAATATAGTTATTCCAAAGCAATAACATTGAGTATCTAGATAATTTAAATAATTCAAAATGCATTATTCCATATAAATTAAAAATCTATTCTTAGAAATAGGAGAAAGAGAATACAAATATGTTGAAATAAAAAAGAGAAGAAAGGTATGGTAGAAATAAAAAGGAAAGGGAAAAAAATATTAAAAATAAGGAATAAATTAATTTTCTGCTTCAGAAGCTAGAATTGATAGCTTCTCCCCAAAAACAGAAAAATTACTTCTGCTGCTGTTTAAAAATACTTTTTTATCTTGACATATCAAATTTTTCAAAAAGTACTTTTTTAACCAAAAAAAATACTTTTAGCCTCCGAGAAGCAACCAAACAGGCTCTGAATGTGTTAAAAGGGTGTTAGAGACTAGTTGAATGATCTCGAACCTCACCTCACTAGTCAGCTTTTAGAATTGAATCAAACCCAAACTCCATCTTTTTTACATTTTTGTCATGGCAGTCTTTCTCAGATATTAACAGATCTGTAAACCATATATGCTAGGTGCAGACAGAACATAATTTTCACATCATAGTTTTTTTTTTATATAAGAATAATTCTCACATCATAGTTAAAGGGTAACCCAATGCATAAAGCATCTTGTATTTGTGCAGGTTTCAAGAAGGACCACACTTCAAGGGGTGTGATGTGGACAGCATACCTTGACGCAATGGCGGATTCCACAGTTCTCTCTAGGTATGGCATAAACTACGAGGGTTAACACCACCTAAGCTAAATTCATCCTGCTACTGCAACACATTATCCAAAGGTGCAATTTATCCAAAAAAAATTTAAAGAACGAGTCCAAAACAATAAAAGAGCTTGATAACCTAAGTTTGGGACAATATCCCCATTGACATACACATTTAGGAGCACTAATAGAAGCCGATGAAGAAATAACTGGACGTAAACTGAAAAGAACAGAGGAGACGTTGAATTTAACGCAACTTTACAAATATCATGGCAAAAAAAAATATAATGTGATCTTAAACCAAACTGTCTTCGATGAAACGCTTCTGTATGAGTCACTCAAATGAACATGCATGCTTTGAATGAATGGAGAAATTACCGACATCTTAGGGTGTTTTGTTGTGAATGGAGAACTAATGAATGAATGCATTGAATGAAATTACTAGTTATGAAACTATCATAGAGGCTAATATAAATATAATGAGAACCAGAGATTTCCAACTACTTCGACCCATGCATTGCAGGTGCACTGCTGTTTTGCTGCTGCTGCTGCTGCTTTGCCTGCGCATGCTGTTGATGTTGCGATGATGCTTTTTCTTGTTGTTGTTGTTGTTGTTGTTGTTGTTGTTGCTGTTGCTGCTGCTGATGCTGCAACTGATGCATGCTTAGTTGAGTAGCCATCTGTCGCTGCAACTGGAACATCTGGGGATTGAGAGAAAGCTGCTGAAATTTGGCAGCATCTCCATTTAGTTCAGCAGTAGCAATCTTCAAGCGTTGAACTTCAGCAGTTAATGCTTCATTTAGAGCTGCCATATTCAAGAAAATACACCATAAGGTTTGATACTTATTCATAAATTAATAAAAAAGCAAAAGAAGGTTTTGATACTTGACTTCTAGACCGCAAAACCTCACAGGCTTTAAAATTTTGAAGATTTGCGTTTTTACTATTAGCATTGTCATAAACAGAATATCATATTCGATCCAGAAACGATGCTAAATGCAAGCAAATATCAATCAGTCATTTCGGAGGAAGAGCAACACTTTGGCTGCAGTGAAACCATATCACATAAAGTGAATACTTGAGTACGAACTCACATATAATTTGAGCAGAGATATGAAAGTAATGTATCGCAAAAGAAAGATGCATACCATCACGGAGATGAGCCTGCTGCTCCATAGCTTGCAGACGGAATTTTAGCTCATTGTTTTGGCTTGTGAGTCCAGAAGAATCTCTCTGAATGCAATTAGAAGACACGTCCAAGATATGAGAACAGGAAGACAAGAAGCTTTGAACTAAACGATACCGAAAGTAGAGATGATTACCTGCAGTAGAGTGAGTTGAGCAGACAATGTGGTGGCTTCAGTCTGTAAGGTTTGTACCTTGTGTTCCAACTCCGCAATATATCTCATCTTTCGCTCTTTCGAACGAGCAGCAGACTGACGGTTGGCCAAAATCCTAAAACAATAAATATAAAATATATGCTAAGTCAGCAGCACGGAGAAAAGGAAATCAAAATCCATGCATCACTTTAAAGGGAATACTACCTTTTGGCACGTTTTGGATCAGCTAAGGCTATCTCAGCAAGTTTCTCGTTCGCCATAATTTTCTTCAATTCAGCTCCATTGAATTCGCCATTCCCAAACTCCAAACTGAAGCTCTCCGAATTCGCATCAAGTGAATTTGTGGGTGATAGTTGGCCATGGTGTGGTCCAGGGGATGGAGGCAACTTCGGCGACTCGTCACCAAAGTTTAACTTCCCCATAAAACTGTCCATCGAAACACTCCTGTAGTGCCTAACAGTCGGAGCAATATCTCCCTCAGCACTCCTTTTGATTCCCTCCCTCTTCTCAGTTGAAGAAGACATCCCTAGTGTATGCATACTGCTGCCGCTGTCATTCACACTGCTTGTTGCTTCATTGTCACTGCTGTCACATCCATTTGTCTTTGTACCGCTGGCTCTACTATCTAAATCTTCACGGTTCTCATTACCCTGCTTCTCATCTACACCCGAGGAGTTCAATGACTCAATATTGTCCAAATTCATATACGCGGAAAACAGGTCATCCACGACTTCTCCTTCAGATTTTCTTTCACCCATTCCCTCAGCATTTTTATCATTGCTTTTATCCCAATAAGCTTCACGTTTAACCAACTGTGCAGGACTCCTTGATGGAACAAGCGGTGGTGAGGACTGCATAATACTAGAAAAGCCAAACGGGATATCACTGTTAGACCTTCTATGAGCCTTACGAGGAGGAAGACTCTCTCCTACCCTTGATGAATTACACCTAGAGAAAGGTGAGGGCGGCAATGAGGAATGTGAATTGCCATCCCGATCCTCCATTGACACATCAGCTGCGACAGGGTCAGAGATGAACGTCGAGAGGGATTCTTTATATGGCGAAGGGCTCAGGGGTGGCAATGAATCAAGTGAGAAAAATGATGGTTGTGATAAAGAACGCGAATGTGAGGGCCCTTGAGTAGTAAAACTCTGCATACCGTGTTGCTGGCTTGTCGGCCTGCCAACTGGGATATGAGAATATGGCGAAATAGGGGGCATTTGCGGATGAGAAGGCGATACACCAACCCTTTTGGTACTATTTTCAACACCAAAATTAGGAGAAAACTGCCGCATTTGACCATGAAACTGGGAAGTAGACAACTGAGGTATGTCGAGTTGGTTCGTCGAAATATATTGGGGTTTCTGTAGGGAAGAAGATGATGTCCCAAATGATGATTGAAGTCTCCGCATCATCTCAGTATTAGCTTCATCACTTTCACCCCCCATCTGCTCCAAATTTTCAACTATTATCAATCAGTGATCTTATTAAACCCTCCACTTTTACAAAAAAAATGATCCCTAATTTTGCAGCTCTTGGCACCTGAATTTGAAAGGTAAAATCTCAAGCCAAGCTCATCAATACCACAAACCCCAAAAAGGAATTCAAACAAAAACCAAAAAATGACCAATTTCAATCATCAAACAAACAAACAATCAACAACAACAACAAAATCCCACGAGCGGGGTCTGGCAAGGGTAGAGTATAAGCAGCCCTTACCCCCACCTTGAACGTAGAGAGTTTGTTTCCTATAGACCCTCGGCTCACAAACAAATAAACAATCACTGAAACCAAATTACAGTGCAAGCTCCAAAACAAGGAATAATCAAGAAATGGATATTCAGTAGAAAAAAAAAGTTGCAATCTTTGACCATCAAGTTCATAAATAACACAAAACCCAAAAAGGGTTTCAAACAAAAACTAAGAAATACCCAAGTTTAATCTTCAAATAAACAATCAATAAACCAAGAAATGAACATTAAGTACTATAAAAACTGTAATTTTTAGACCATGAGCGGATCTACATATTTGAACTAACCATTTTCAACTCAAACTAAAATCAAAAGGTCTTTAAATTACACAAATTTATACTAAATCCGAGCTTAAGAGTACCTGAAACTGAGCAATGACTGAAGGGTCTGAATATAAAATGGCAAAGGAGGAAATTTCTTCTCTCTATTTTTCTTCTTATTTTTTTCTGTGTATTATTGCTGCTTTTTTGTTTGGTATATAATCTCTATAGCTATGAATGGTTACAACTACTACTGTGATTTGCACGGATTTCATGAATATTACTACTACTGTCTACTGGTGCTTTGTTTCTGTAATTAGGAGTACTAGTACTCAAGACGCGTGAATTTAATATGAATTTCAATTTCATTTAGGTGGAATGTGCTTTTGGGCCGCATTTCAATTTCATTCCGACTGCATTTATCCAATCTTTTTAGCTCTATCACCGCAGATTATGTAGCAATGAATTTCTCCTCCATCTAATATATTTATATTCCCTCGTTTTAATTTTTGTCCATCAAATATTTTTTTCTTTTTTAAAAAAAAGGTATTAAAATGTGTTCCATAAAATTTTGCAAGTTTTTTGGAAAATTTTCGAAAATAAATTTTTTCAAGAATTTATTTTCCTCACTCATAAAACTATAATATTTTTTCAAGTAAAATACATATACAAACATAATTTTAAATTTCAAATATAATTTTTCAACTTAGCTCAAAATACTACTTTTTTTCAAAAATTTAATTTTTATGTCCAAACACGTAGTTAGTGAGTGCTTACACACTGAATAAAATTTAAATTTAGCTTAATATTAATATGAAAATATTTCAAAGTAATGACTGAAAAATTGCTTAATACAGAAAATCGACTGGTTCAGGCCTCGAGCCCGGGGGCTAGACCGGCACCTAGTGCCTCATCTATCCTTGCGTACCACTTGCGACTAAGAGACGCTGAACATGTAATGTCATACTTTGGCTATGGGCCACATTACAAGATAATGTGCGATACAAAATCTAAAACTAAATGGAGACTAACGTTGACTAATGTCAACATAAAGCTGGGCCGGCAAGGACGTTATAATTACTACAACTGACAAGCCAACAAAATATACGTACAGGGCCTACAAGCCCAACATACTATACTAACCGACAGGATATGTCTACAAGCCTCTACTGATAGATGTATTATGATCGGAACAGGGCCCCGACCTACCCATAACCTATCTACATATATACACCACACTGCTAGACTCAGCAACTCCGAAAGAAGGGGAGCTTACCGATAAAGCTGAACTCGGACAACACCTACTGAGGAGGTCTACCCGTCTGTCTGTATGAACCTGCACGCATGAAATGTAGCGCCCCCAGAAAGGGACGTCAGTACGAAATAATGTACCGAGTATGTAAGGCAATATACTGAAGCTAAAATTGAACTGATAATATAATAACTGAAAACGACTGGGGGTCAAAGAAAATCTGAAGATATGCTCATCTACTGATACTGACTAACTCTCTCAATATAGTGAGTAAAATAGTTGTCTGGCCCTAGAAGGCTCGGTATATATATATAATTGCTCTGCTGTAGTAGGCTCGCTCATAGGCGCTCGGCCATACTAGGCTCTATATCTCGACCAACTGGGCTCGCTCATAGGCGCTCGGCCACAGCAGGCTCGGTATATAACTTACCATCTGATCAGAGGTTGCCCAATAGAGGCATGTCCATCGATTATAGCTCGATGGTAATGAAAATACTTTAATACTTTATATATGTAAACTCTCTGCTCTTTTGATCGGAAAAGGGAAATACTCAACTGAATATGCAGTCCCGGTAAGGTAACTTACAAAACTAGGAAAATATATATAATTTGCGAGACTAGCAAAATATGCATAAATTCCGGGATACGAATTTTTCTCTATGCCTCGTTATCAAACTTATGTAACGACGATATCATGATAAAATGAAGGAAAAACTTAGCCTTAACATACTTGGAGTAGGGGAAATCCGTATGATATTCTTGGAACAGGTTGCACCGTACTCCGCTAGAATCGCAAAACGTAATTATGTTGCTAAAACCTTAATAATTCTTGTTGGGATTTTTTTTTAGGAATCGATTGAAAATAAAATGGCTAACATCCAGGAAGTGCGAGGTCTTACGTCTGTTCTTGGTTTTGGAACAATTCAAATGAACTTAGTATAGTTTTGTTTAGTCATTAAGTGAAAGACTTGATTAGTCAAGTCTTGGAAATGGTATCTTCATGACACCTAGCAAGGAATGACATAGTCATTACTTATATCATTGAAGGCTACCGCGTGGGGTTGGGGGGTGAGATAATTAATCTTTATCCACTTATTAGTTAACTGGGTAATGTTCTGTTACCCGGTAATTAATCAATTACCCGCATAATTTAAAAATTATCCCAAATTACTTAAAATTTTACTTATTTTTAATATACTTTATACATTATACTACCGTGGTCATATGCTACCTCGCATGGTACTAGTTTATAATTATCGGGTATTATTACTTGATCCGTATTTTATCTCAAATTGGCCATTTTCAACAAAACTCGTTTTCTCTAATTCGTGCATCCTTTATCCTTCATGATACTTATTTATTGCTTGTTATAAATAGCATAAATATGCTAACCTCCAGATAATATCATCCCGAATTTACGTCAATTTACTGAAGACAAAACTTTAACGTACGAAAAAAATGTGAGATGTAACATCCCTTCTCTCTAGAAACATTAGTCCTCGAATGTCTATTCTTAGATACTTTGGGAACATTTTTGTCGGAGTCTCTTTCGTACATCTGACTGAAACCAACCTGTATGCAGCCAGAAAACTTACTATACATGCCACACATGGCCACTATCTATAAATAGCAACACTTAGCTCCACACAACTGTCCATTATAAATTCTGAGAGTTAAAAATGAGAGTTTATCTGATGACCTACTGGCCTGAGAGTTTATACCCTCGAGTCATATCTTCAGTTTAAATTTTGAAATAGGTGGGGGTATTTAGACTTCATTTCTTCCTCTGCTTCCCACGTCATCTCTTCCACCTTCTTACTTCTCCATGAAACCTTCATGGATGTTATGTCCTTATTTAGTAGCTTGCGGATTTGTCGGTCTAGGATGGCAACCGGAATTTCCTCGTATGACAAGTCCTCTATAATCTGTACATCATCTGTGGGCACCACTTGGGTAGGATCGCCAATGCACTTTCGTAACATATATACATGAAAAACTGGATGAACAGACTCCAATTCCGAGGGTAATTCTAACTCATAAGCTACTTGCCTCACTCTCTGAATGATCCTATAAGGCCCAATATACCGTGGGCTAAGCTTTCCTTTCTTGCCAAACCTCATCATACCTTTCATAGGTGATACCTTTAAGAATACCCAGTCATTAACCCCGAACTCTAAATCTCGTCGTCGCACGTCAGAATATGACTTCTGACGACTCTGAGCTGTCAAAAGTCGCTCCCCGATAAGCTTTACTTTTTCTATGCCCTGCTAAACCAGGTCAGGCCCATGTAACCCAGATTTTCCAATATCAAACCACCCTATGGGAGATTTGCACCTGCGCTCATACAAAGCCTCGTACGGAGCCATCTAGATACTGGAGTGGTAACTGTTATTATATGAAAACTCGATAAAAGGTAGATTTTCATCCCAACTTCTTTTAAAATCCAGCACACATGCTCGTAACATATCCTCGAGCGTCTGAATCATGCGCTCGGCTTGTCCATCCGTTTGTGGATGGAAAGCTGTGCTGAGATTCACCAGAGTTCCTAGACCTTTCTGTAATGACCTACACAAATGTGCTGTGAACTAGGCCCCACGGTCAGATATAATAGATACGGGTACTCCGTGTAGTCACACTATCTCCTTAATATATAAGTTTGTATAATCCTCTGTTGTATATGTAGATCAGACCGGTAGGAAATGAGCTGATTTTGTGAGCCTGACGACTATCACCCATATGGAATCAAACTTACAATGGGAACGAGGTAAACCCATGATAAAGTCCATATTTATCGCCTCCCATTTCCATGTCGGGATCTTTATAGTCTGTATTAGCCCTCTGGACTTCTGGTGCTCTATTTTCACATGCTGGAAACTAGGGCATTAAGTGACATACTCAGCAATATTCTTTTTCATATCGTTCCACCAATACACCTCCTTAATGTCATGATACATTTGCGTCGACCTAGGGTGAATGGAGTACCATGAATAATGTGCCTCTGATATAATCCTGTCTCGTAGCCCTGCTACATCTGGAACACACAAACGACCCATGTATCTGAGAACCCCATCTCCTTTGAGTTCTAACAACGACTTCTTTTGTTTCGGAACCCACTCTCTCAATTCGACTAACTCTGGGCCCTCGTACTGCCTCTCTTTTACTTCAACTATGAGAGATGATTTTGCAGTATTTTGGAGTACAGCTCCTCCATTACCAGAGTCAACTAACCGAACCCCCAAACAAGCCAATTGATGAATCTCTCTAGTTAATTGTCTTTTTTCGGCCTCTACATGTGCTAAATAGATCGGCGACTTAAGTCATCTGCTACAACATTAGCTTTCCCTGGATGGTAGAGAATGTTAACATCGTAATCTTTTAATAACTCAAGTCATCGCCTTTGTCGCAACTTCAACTCTTTTTGCTTGAAGATATATTGCAGGCTTTTTATGATATGTGACACATTAACATGAATACCATATAAATAATGTTGCCACATCTTAAGTGCATGGACAACCGCAGCTAATTCGAGGTCATGGGTCAGATAATTCCGCTCATGCTTCTTTAACTATCGTGAAGCATACACAATTACTTTCCCATGTTGCATTAGGACACATCCTATCCCGACACCTGAGGCATCACAATACATGGCATAACCATCTGGACCTTCTGGAAGTGCTAGAACTGGCGCGGAGGTCAACCTGTTCTTAAGCTCTTGGAAACTCTGCTCACAGGCCTCTATCCACTGAAACTTAGTCGCTTTCTGCGTTAGCTTTGTTAATAGTGCTAAAAGAGAAGAAAAACCCTCTACGAACCTCCGATAATATCCTGCTAAGCTTAGAAAGCTACGAATCTCTATCGGAGTGGTTGGTCTAGGCCAGGATTTCACAGCCTCAATCTTTTGAGTGTCTACCTTTATACCTTCGTCGGATACAATATGCCCCAAGAATGTTACGGACTTTAACCAGAACTCACACTTAGAAAACTTAGCATACAATTTATTATTACGGAGGGTTTGGAGTACTGCTCGTAGGTAATCCACATGCTCATCCTATGAACGTGAAT